TGAACCATTCCATACTCAATAATTTAATGCATATTCAATGTGTTAAAGTGTTGTTCTTTGAGTGTAAGCATTGTATGCAAGATTAATCCTAAACTAGATAAAGTGAACTTTCCATTTTTGAAAAGATTAGCTTTATGTCAATTTAGAAATCCAACAAGTACAAGCTAAATCCTTTTGGCACAAGATTATGGACAAGTTGCTCTGATCAAGAGAAGATTATGCAGCACATTAGGAGGCCCCCTACTGACCTAAACCATCAACTTGCTTTTGTTGCTTCACATAGAAGAAAAGTCCATAACTTGTACCAATTTGAATCTCAGCCTTAGCACACAAGAACAAACCTATCAAACAGATTCCAAAGAACATATTCAAGCTTTGGCACGAGTCCTTGACCTCTCAAGCACCCTCCATCTCAGAATCATCCTCAAACTGCAAAACAGGGTTGCCTCTGCAGTTTGAGTGCCAACTCCCATTTCCCTCGAGCCTTCTTACCAAAATCAATCCATACACATTCCCTAGCATGTATGCAAGCTAACCATGACCTAAAAACTGGCATGTAATCCCTCTAACAGTTTCCACCATTTTCATTTTTTCCTCTTGCAGTTGAAGTTCCACAGCTCGATACAAGAAGTTTCAAGACAAAGTAAGCATTGAAACAGCATCCTTGGACCTCAAGGAAGCTTTTCCAATCACTACCTTGCACCAGAAGTTCCTCATTCTCCAGATAGAAGTTCAACTGCACAGGTAAAACTTTGAACTCGTATCTCTCTTATCATGCATCTTTAGTCTTAAGTTTGTGAAGAAACAAGGTTCTACTCATAGCCCTGAACATGTACATATCTTTACATTTCATTTCTTTTGCCTGAGTAGAGAGAATTTGGAGTTTGAAAATGGCAGAAAAACTAGGTTAGGATTTGGGGGAGGAGAAATTCTCCCTCATCTTAGGGAGTCAGGTCAAGTTCCATACATGGTTAGAATCGTCTCTTCATGCTGAACATTTGTTGTGTTATGAGTTTTTGCTAAAAAGCCAGGAATCGAGAGTTGGACATTGATGAACATGGCGCGCGTTTTTTCAAACATTTGTGCTGGAGGTTGAAGACAGTGGCATTGGGCTGGGCTTGTCTTGTGCTTTTCTTTTCACACCCCATAATTACTCATGAACCCCCCAAGCCCATTTGTCTTATTTTTAACTCTTTTTGACTTTTTCTTTTTTGATTGACTTTGTTTATTTTTTCTCATGATATAAAAAACATAAAAATATTTTTTCCATCCTTTTTTGAATTTATGGCATATTTATTTGATTTATTTCTTTTGTTTATACACAAATATATATATATTTTATTTAGAATAAAATACAAAAATAATGTAAATACATGTTTTTGTTTTTATTTACCCTCTGAAAATATTTCACATAAAAATACCTTTTTATTGATTTTATTAAAAAAAATTTAATTATTATTATTATTTGTATATAATATTTAGAACTTAATATATGTATATATATATGTTTATTAATATATTTAGGTTAGAATATAAAAATACTTGAATTTTTTTCATTTTTATTAATATTTGATACAAAAATACTTTTTTCATAATATACTTCATTTTATTTTTATTTTTGTATATAATAAATAAATACTTGTATTAAATTAGAAAATAATACATTTTCTTTAAAACTAGGGTTTTTGCCCTAAAAATTGAAAATACTCAAAAATAATGCCCTTTTATTTTCTTATTTTATTTTACATAAACCATACTTTTCTCATATAAAAAAAAAACTTTCTTTTTGCATTTTGCATATTTATTTAATTTCCATTTAATTATGCAATTTATTTATTTTGCAAATATTCAAAAATGATGTAATAATTTAGATTTAAATTCTTGTCAATATCCCCATTTGAACATTTGTACCCCCTTCCCATATTTGGTTTTGTAATAGCTTAGTAATTTAAATTTCGCACTTTATACGCTTTCTAATTATGCCATGTTAGAATTAGGGTTTGTATGCGAAAAAACGATAAAAAATAGTTATGACCTAATCTCAAGATAAACAAGCATGAAAATGGACACACAAATCACACTTGCACCCCCTAGGGTATTCCACTTGTTGCTTTTCAAAATGGGCCATATTGTATGTTGAACTTCTTTGGGCAAAGCAAACAATTTGAATGATCATAGTCCCTCGATAAAACTTTTCAAAACAAACAAAAACAAATGATCAAGTCCCTTAAAGAAAATTGCCCAAAGACATTTAACGCCGTTGCAATTATGGTCTAAACGATGACCCGCGCCTGTCCCTTTCACATCCTAACATAAGGTTGTCCACCAAATTCAATGGTGGAACAAACTTGTTAAAAGGGTTAAAACATAGCAATAATCTTTTGAGAAATTTAGGAGTAGATAACCTCTTAGTTACTTGAATCAAACTTGCAAAACAAAACACTTGCCTATTTTAAAAACCACACATCACTGCACTTTCAAAAACAAATGAAAACCTTTTTAAAAGACATACATCTTTGTATACATCCCCACATGGATCATTACAAAGGTTGCCACCACATTGGCCTCTTTTCAAAACATTTTCAAACCCACACACAAAGCACCATTTCAAACAATTGAAAGCAAAAAGGCAAGTGATCTAAGCAAGTAACTAAGAGCCCATGGATAACCATGGATAGAAAGGGTGCTAATACCTTCCCTTTCTATAATCTACTCCCCGAACCCAAGAAAACATCTCAAAAGGTTTTTGCTGTGCTTTTTAACCTTTCCTTAGGATAAAATAAAAAGTCGGTGGCGACTCTTGCTAACCGCAACATTTGCGAAAACAAACGCAAAACCACTAGTCAGTTCTCCCACCGTACCACACATCTCAAGTAAATAAACATCATCATCATATCATCTTAAATAGACAACACATCGTTATAATCTAACACTGGGAACCTAACTTCATCCTAGTTTAGATATTGGGGAAATACTTCTTTTACCTCATTTTATTCCATCTAACTAAAGTTCATTGCACTAGCTATTAAATTCTTCGAACGAAACCTCAATCTGAATCTTAAAACTCGAGTTACGACTCTTTTAAGAAAATCCAACACAGCTAATCAAATCTGGACACCATCACTCGACGACATACTTTCATCGCCTGGCGACACTTCCATCGCCACTTGCTTTTCCCGACGACGCTTGGGCGATGCACTCCAATAGTGTCACTCTTTTCTGCCCTTCGTCGCTCCCATTTTCGCCTAGCGACGGCCACGCGACAAAACCATTGCCCGACGACGCTTCTCAATCGTTCGACGACACAACGTGAACATGGTTTTCCAATTGTAATTTCCTGCATAAAAATCGGTCCCAATCTTGCGATTTCTACACATTATAGGTCCTAAAACATCATCTAATCACAGGGTTTTCACCAAATAACAACAATTCAATGCATTCTACATTATGGGTACAATTTTTTTACAATCCAATACCATAAAACATCATCTAATTCATCTTATTATCACACATTCATCACAACCACAACCCATCACAATCTAAATCTATCTAAACCTAAATCGATTATAATAATCAAGATAAACACCCCTTACCTTGAGATTATTGCTAGAAATCAAATCCTCTTCGTGCCTACCGGGATTCATATGCTTATCCTTGCCTCTTTGTGTCCTAGGTCTCTTTCTCCACAATGTTCTTCCAATTCTACGATCACACAGAATGATCGTATAAACTCTCTCAATCTTTCCTTATACCAAACTTGCCCTCTTAGACCCCTAATAATGAATTCCCATTCATGTCCTCACCTATCCTTCACTAATGACCATCTTGCCTGTATTTTCTCTACACCACCATCCTATTTATTTAAATCCAAATAATTCTAAATAACTACTATTAACATCTAAATAATTCTGAAATATTTATCTAAATCCTAAACACCTCCTATTATCTCATCGTTCACCTCTATCCCATCAAATACCACACAAATCATCATTATAAACACCATATTCATCAAGTCATCGCTATTGATCGCAAATGCATCACGAATACACATCACAAATCGTCACGAGGACTCACACAAAGCACCAAAACATCATACATACCAAACACTTCACAATGACTCGTATAATCACGCTAAATTAATTAAATAATAATTAATCTAGAAATTGAAGTGTTATTGTATTTGAAAGCAAATAGACCTGACATAACATTTTGTACCAAACAACTGAACTATTTTTTATCAGCTTTTACCATGACTCACTTCAATGCAACTTGTAGAATTCTCAAATATCTCAAAATATGTCTAAATCGGTGAATTATGTTTTCTAGAGTCTGAACAACTCAATTGAATGAATACTCTAATGCAGATTAGACAAGTTACCTAGACACGAGAAGGTCAATTTCAAGCCAATGTTTCTTTGTTGACAAATGAATGGTCTCATGGAGAAGTAATAAGCAACTAACAATTTCAAGATTTTCATCAGAAGCTGAATATCGTGCACTTGTAGCTGCTACATGTGAATTATTCTCCTAAAAGATCTCCAAGTCAAATGCATCAAAACACTTAATATCTATTATAAATTGATTGTCACATTGTGTGAGAGAAACAAGTAGAATGAGTTATGAAACTTTTACCAATCAAATCCAAATACCACTTGGTAAATTTAATCATAGTTTCCTCTAATTTGATTTTTAAAATATTGAGTGAAATATCATTGTACCATCTCAATCACTTGAGTCAAGGTATTTGATCATTGTACAACATTCAACAAATTTATTGATCCTATAAATAAATTAAAGGAACCTAACTTAAAATAAAGGTAAAAATGACTCAACTATATTACCATTAAGCTCTTTTCAGCCTTTTTAAAAATCTTGTTTTTTAATTGTCAAACATACAAGTTTTTTCACTATACTACATCAGGATCAATCCATCACAAGCAGAACAAAAACGGCTAAGTTTATCTCATTCCAAATATCTCCTCTTTCTCAATATTTACAGCTCAGTCAAGCCCACCATCCATCTTCTTCTCAGCCAGAAAACCTTGCTCTTGCTCATGAAGATAATCTGCCATCAATAAATAGCAAGTATCTCATGACATTAGCAAATATCTTCAGGGAACGAAAATGGATCGTTTGAAGCCCAACAGCTCAGTCTAGCTACATGTCAGCTGTTCGATTAATCCAACAGCATCCATGATATTGGACCGAGCTGCAAGGACTCGTCCATAATACAATACCAAGAAAATGCTCACGAGTAGTATTGATCTCAGTTTAATTTTGCAGAATCATCAGCGCTAAGATTAGGCGCAAATATGCAATCCAAAACAAAATCTACATGATAATCTGGCATGTATATTATAATCTAACAGCTGATGGAAGAAAGCAAAATAAAAGACAAAAATGATATATTTGAACCCTAGCCCAATTATCATGACATGTATATCCAATCCCAATTGAAAAGGTACTGGATATAGAGTCATGTGCATACCATTGTTGGTTTTTCCTGAACTCAGTAAGCACTGGATATATGTTCTCGAAGGCTGTATACGTCTCATCTCTCACCTAAACAAACGCAAATTAAAATATTAGATCAATGAGGCAGAAAATGGTAAACGTATATGATTAAATTGGAATATCTCAAGACTGATACCTTGGCTCCTGTCAGAACAATTTTTCCAGATACGAATATAAGCAAGACTATCTTGGGCTGCTTCATTCGATAGATTAGTCCTGGAAACAACTCTGGTTCATACTATCACCAGAAAACAAGCAAGTTCAATAAATGTTTATTATTCACTAAACTTCTAGTATTAGTACAGAAAGAATCTAGGAAAGCAAATACACATGCACAGACACAACAGAAAACAGCCATTTCCATACATCTACACTTGTAGATCACACAAGCATCGTGACTGAAAATATTCCCCACTAAACATCTACATCCCATTTTGCAGTGAATATTTCTAGGTCAAAGTGCTTCTACTTGATAAAATATAAAATGAAATAGGATTTGTGATTGTTTGGCCATCATGGAAATCAGAGTTGGTTTTGCATTTGCAATATTCAAATATTTACTTTTCATTGCTCACACTTGTGATACTGGTGTCTCTAATAAGGATTTCAGTCTTCTGTAGAATGCTTGACTACAAATATATAATTCAAGGAAACAGCATTTAGGGGAGACAGAGAATAATAGCTTCATGTCATACTTACACTTGAGAAAGCACCGTGGGAATATGCAAGACCCTCAAGCCGTATGGGGAACTTGACATCACAAGAGCCAACAATGTTCTGAATCTTAAAATCCTAAACAATACAAAAGGAATAAATCAATTGTCAAGCACCACTCATGTAGTGTTGAGTGGATAATGACGAACAATTTTGGATGAAACAACTTTAGTAAAGATAATGAAAAAGAGAAGAAATAGTACCTTAAATTTAGCTGGGAAGCCTAGCTTCTGGATAATTCTAGCATACTGAAGGAGATAAAAGATTAGAAAATATATATTTTCAAGAATGCATTACTGTTGATAATGGCGGCCCATGGCGGAGAGCCAAAATCCCGCCATACTGGCCGCTTTGCGGCGCCGTTATCGCGGATTACGGCGGAAAAACGCACAATAGCGGCCGATATTTACCATTACGGTGAGCCCAAAAACTGCCATGTATATCCGCCATAGCGGCCATGGCGGGGCAATTTGATAACACAGGAATGCATCATGTTTAGTTACTAGTTAAGAGGAGAAAAATAAAACCATCCATCTTCCTCCATTGATTTAAGGAACTATTTTAAAAATTAAAAAAACTAAAAAAAGAATATGCTAAAAACAAGTCATGATTAATGGCAAGGTTCTTCAGTCTTACGAACCTCGACTTGAGAAGCTTCAATAATACAAAGGATGAAAGAGTTTAGAGAAGAAAAGAACACCAGTATACCTTCCTTGCTGCCAATTTCGATTGTACCTCACTCTTAGCTCCAGTACAAACCTAACCATGGAATTAAATTTTAAAAAGTATTAAAAATATAAATCCATAACAAGCAACATGCTAAAATTATGTTATTTCATAAGTAGAGATAGAGACTGGTAAGACCCATTTGAGACAGTGGGGCCCAAATGGGAAATTAGCACATAACCCAAGAACACAACTTAGGGAATTCAGTTATATTGGGACTGAGTAGAGAGCTAACGGGTATCTTGGAAATCATTTGGGTGAGTTAGGAACAGAGATTCTTCTATGTAGGAATGCCAGAATTTGTAGGGGAAGGCCCCGTTAGGCAGATCACTAAGGAATAAAGATCTCTTGAGGAGCAGAAAAGGCAGTAAAGAATGTGATCCTAATATAAGTAGAATAGCTTCCTCATTTTCTTTCTTATGCATAATCAAAATTGTGGTTTTTCCAGTATACCCTCTTAACATGGCATATATGCTTAGCAAGAGAAACCCATATATCCATTCTGTTTCTCCTCTGCAGCTGTCCATCCATCACATATCTACAGATCTGGAATGCATTTCACCTTCTACCAATCGTTCGACCCTCATTGCTTGTCTAGCATTATGAGGCTCGACTCACAAAAGCAATAGTTGCATGTGCCCAATCACACGTCTATTAAATCCCTCCATTTGGGCAGCATGAAAAAACATCTAAACCCATATCTGGCAACATTGTAGCCAAAATCGCATTCTTGATCGAAAAATCAAACGAGTTTGCAATTTTACTTGCCGTCTTGCCCTCTCGTCAATTTTGAGTTCATGCATAACCAGACTATGATGAAATATACACCAATTTGTTTGCCCCTTAAACTCGGTTGTTCACAAATCTCTTAAGTTCTCTCCTGCAACCCTGTTCTCTCTCACGGGCACAATTTTTTTCTCGGGTCTCACCGTGGTGAGACTAAAAGTATCTCTTGTGGCCCTTAGCCGTTATAGTGTGCACAAGTTCTTCTTTATTTCCGTTTTGTTGTCATTATTGCCAACCGAAAGACTTCAAATTAAAATGTTGCTATTGGTAAGGATCCACTGTTGAGTAGATTATGGAAATCAAGGTTGAGTGTCATTTTTTGGTGTTTTTATTAGTTTTAGTTGACTTTATGAAGTTGTGTTTCATGTAGTTTGTATAATCTTAGATTTCACGCTTTACGATTTTACTTCCCCTTTCTGATTATGTGTATAATCACGATTTTAACTACCTATCATTATAGTACTCCTCTCAACAAAATAAAGTTCCAACTCAACGATCCATCACATCATCGCCTAGGATCTGTATTGGCCTTAGAATTGCATTTCCCATGATTCTAGAACAACTCCGGCGATCAAGGTAGTAAAAACCTAGATTTTACGCTAAACCAATAAGGGTGAATAAATGCATAAATGATGCAATCGTAACACTATCGGTAAGATTATACAAAATTCATAAAGCTCATGTATATGCATAAGACAAAGAAAACCTTAAATCACACTTGAAATACTGGAGAGATTCTTAGGCTTGTTCCTATAGATCAGGACAGGAGAGTGAGCAGCCGCAGACCCCTTACCAGTACCAGCATGAGAATTTGAAGCCATTGGTTAGCAACAAAAACAAAGGTGGACAGAGAAGTGGCTGTGAGGGATAATAAGGATGAAACAGATGAGGAAGAACCGGACAAAGACTGACGAGAGAAAAGAAAAGTAGGGCTAGACAGAAACAGTTGCAGGAGACAAAGAAGGTCAGGACTGTTTTTTAATGAAATTAATTAATACTTACAGGTCAACCTGTTTTTAAATTAATTAATTAATATTCATTAATAGGCACATTTTTTAACCAAAAAATCACATTTCCTTAACAGGTTTTCTTATGACCCACATGCATAAACATGTCTTCTTCTAACCCGCAAGCAGAAATGGGTCTTCTAACCCGCATGCAGAAAACGGGCCTTTCGCTAACCCTAGCATGTGCGTCGTATAGCCACCACCCTTGCACCACCTGGAATCACAGTCGCAAACAATATATCAAGCATACAATTCAACGATTAACAACGCGATTTCCATGTGATTTCACCAAAATCCGATTCTGTGTATACTCTTAAATGCTGAGCAGAAGCACAACCGAAAAATCGTGACATTGTATAATTTGGATCGCGATTTTGACTACCATGCTGGTGATACAGGCATTGATTCGAGCAGGAGAAAAAAAAACATCAACCGTGTACTAGTTGGTTGAGAAATTGTATCAATCAAGCTATTGCAACTAAGGTAGAAAAAACTACCACCTGCAACAAAAGGAACATACCATTTTGCCAGATGCAAAAATAAGTGCAGTTGTTTTTGGTTCCCGGATCCTCATAATCACAGCAGCAAAACGCTGCACAGGTTCAAATCAAAGACATCAGCACTGCAGAAAAATGACCAACTAGCATGACAATATATCAAGCATGTAAGTTATTACTACACTATTGATCATTGATTTCAGATAACAACAGTGTAGTGCAACACAAACTTCGATACACACATATATCTAGATGGAAATCACAATTAAAAAACAAAACTTGCCTTGGGATTATACTCCGCATTACGAGCTTGAAGTGCAATAGACTTTAGCTCCAACTTACAATCCAAATTGACAGTGGACACAATATTTCTGACGATACAAATAGTAAACAACTTTAGATAATATAATACATATATGCAACAATCAATTTACTATCTAAATATTTCCGCATCAAGCATACATTTAGAGTTTATCTTAGAAGAAGCACAGACACACAAGGGCACAACCGACAACACAAGTAATTCCAATTGGAATATAATTACCCTCCATCAAGAACATTTAAGTGTAACCAAATCTCATTCACTATAAGCTTCAATGGCATAAATTTATTGGGATAAGCACAGATCCAAAAAAAAAAAGAGCAGTATCAGTAAAACTTTTGATCAACTGTAAGAGGTGATTGTAATATTATTATTTGCATGTAGAAGGTTTTAAAAAACGATCCGCGGCCGCGACAAAACGGTATCTACATGTGCCGCTACGGATACCGCTATTCACCGTTTTCATGTTAAAGAACAAATTGCAATTAATTCACACCGCAATGACCACAATTTGTATCACAACACTTGTATCGACCGCAATCGCGAAAACTTTTCCGCGAGCGATACACGGCCGCAACACCATTATTTAAAACCTTGGTATTCTCAATATCATACATGGGGGGTATCACTAGGACTTGGGTAACTAACTACATGATGAGTCCACTTCTTTATTACAAATAAGCATACCCACATTCCACAGCACAACTCAAACTCTCACATAACTCATTCAAATCAAACCAACCAAAACACGCATCATACACAACACAATTAGTCATCAACATCTCATGCTTGCAATCACAATCCAAAACTAAGAAAACATTGATTTCAAAGAAACTCACTGAAGAGTAGGTACAATCCCTGAAGGATGCTTTAATAGATCCACAGGTTGACTCCCTTCCAATCCTTGATCAGCCATGAATCCTATTCAAGTTTTAATTTTTATGCTATCCTTCCAAAACCAGCCACAACCCACTATCACAAAATCAACAACAACCACAATATTCCACATTAATCACTAAAAAAACAAACAACCCATTTCTCAAATCATTTAAAAAACATTAAAAAAAAATATAAAAAAAACCAATTAAGTAAAAAAAACATAGATCTAGTGGTTCAACAAAACAATTAATGAAATCAGACCTTGTTGTGAGGGAATTAGGGTTTGTTATTTATGGATTTTTTGAGAGATGTAATCAAAATTGAAAGGGATTGAAGAGGAGTGTGATAGAGCGGGAAGAAAATTGATGTGAGAAATTTGTAAAAGAGGGTTTTATATATGTAAGAGAGATTGTGAATGCGATTGGGAACAAATGATGTATCTGATAGCTTATGAAGACAGAGAGGAGGAAAAAGAGGTTGGGATCGATTTGTGCCAGCTGGTTTTGGTTTCTTATATTTGTGACTGTTTTGTCCTTGGAAGTGGAAATCTCGGCTTTGTTTTGTAGGGGTATAATGGGAATGGTGGAAATGTAGTTATTGGATGTCAAACGGTAATACTGTCGGGTCCAATTGAGATGTTTTTCTTCTCTTTCATAAATATTGCACACAAAATTGTCTTAAAATTAAAGAGAAATAAAAATTAGAGGCGTTCGCAGATCGATTCGGTTTTAAGTGAATTTGGTTTTATATGAATTGGTTGATTAAATTTATAAAATTTTGTGATAAAGTCTAAATCAAAGCGAACTGAGAAATAATTGTTTGATTTGAATTGGATTGATCGAGTAGATAAAAAAAATAAAAAAATAAAAAATAACTTATTTATGTAAATTAATTTTTCATAAAAATATAAAAAAAATATAATATTAATAATATTTAATCATAAATATTAAACTAGCAATTTTTTCCTAATAGATTCTAGAATTTTTTACAAGAAAAATATATAATATCAAGACTTTTGAATTTATAATTCATCACTTGAATTACTATGATAACGAATGTATTTCATACCTCTACGCTAAGTTACCACATTACATTAACAATTTTCTAATAACAAATTAAAATAGAACAACTTACCCACATATGATATTTCACTTTTTTCTTCTTGAATTTAAATGATTGGTGGTAATTTTCATGATAATTAATTATGATTGGTTAGGATTGAGTTTGCGGATAGAAAAATTGAAAATCTGATGCTCGAACTATTTATTATTGATTTAGTTCGGTTCTTGCTCGAACTAAAAAAATATCTAATCCAAATATCATGATTTGGTTTAGATTTCGATTTAGTTCAGATTTATTCGAACCAATGAACACTCCTAACAAAAATAATCATATTATCTCTAATTTTATTTATAAAAAAATTACTTTTTTAGATATATTAAGTAACTAATATATTATATCGATAAATAGATTGTTTATTCTATCAATCTAAAAAATATAACTTTTTTTATAAATAAGATAAGAGGAAGTATTCACTACGCCAAAAATAGCTTTTAACAGCGCACATTAGACAGCGCTTTTATACAAAAGCGTTGTTATAAGTGAATTAAAAAAAATAGGGAAACTGTATACAATAATAAATAAAAGTGCTGCTAAAAATATAAACTTAGACAGCGCTTTTAAAAAGTGCTGCTAAAAGTGTTGCTTTAGAAAATAAAGGACCACTTTAGACAGCGCTTTTAAAAAGCGCTGTCTAAAGTCATATAAAATTAAAAAAAACTGAAAAGCGCTGCTAAAGGACCCTATTAGCCAGCGCTTTTCAAAAGCGCTGCTAAAGGCCCGTATTAGCCAGCGCTTCTAAAAAGCGCTGTCTAAAGCCATATAAATTAAAATTAAAAAATAGAATCAGTGTACTGTTTCTCTTTCACAGACTCACGAACACGAAAACCATTTCCCTCTCATTCTCACGAATAGAAACCCTTTCCCTCTCACAAATCGTCGCCTTCAAACCAGTCTTTTCTCTCCGTCCTCCACCGTCTCTCTCAGTTGTCCTCCACCCACACCGGTCGATTCTCAAGGTAGGTTCTTTCTTGAAAATGTCTTTATCTACATTGATGTCCAAACTGAGTTATCCTTCTATTGATAATGTACTATGCTAACATCTAAGACATTATCCTCCTATTGATGTCCAAATTGAGTTATAGATATGCATAACTGAGTTATAGGTATGCATTTTGATTTTTCGGTTCTTGGTAGGGCTTGATAACAGCAACACTTTTAGCATTATTGTATTTTCTGTATTTTAGCATTATTGCACTTTCTGCAACACTTCTAAGATATTATTGTTTTTGAAGTTTGAATTCAGTTTCTGTATGTTTCATTATTGCACTTTGTATTATTGTCATGCATTATTGTATTTTGTATCATCTTTGTTGGTTTGTGATCAAATGTGATGAGAAGTCAGAAGAGGAAGCAATGTTATATATTATAATTTATCTATCACTCTCTCTATCTATGTGTATATGATTATTAAGTAAGAACTTTTTGAATATTTTTCTTTTGGTTCTTTGTTTTGGAATTAAAAAAATGATGATGGGTTTTTTTGTTATTTTAATTGGTTTCTGAATTGTTTATCATGTTTATATTCTCCATGAACTAGTATTTTTTTACTTGTTGGTTGCTTGGTTTCTTTACTTTTAATACTATTTTACTGATATAATTTTCAGAACTGTTCAAACATTATTACTCCTAAATACTGTGTTTCTGTTGGAAAGAAATATGACATGATAGAAAAGATTCATAAGTGCTTTGTTTCTCATACAATTTTTCACAAAAAGCTTGTCTAAGAACAAATTCTTAAGGTTTGTGGATTTAAGCTATTATAGCCCTATATATATACAACTTGTTTTTGATGATCCCTTTGTATTGGTGTAGTTAGTCGAAGACCATCACCGATTCGAAGAACATCAAAGCCGCATCATCCACCGTCGACACCAATAACCCCTTTTCTTTCTTTGGTAAGTCAAGTTCAAATTCTATCTGTATCGATCAATTAAAAAACACAATTATTTTTATATAGATATATTTATTTTTAGTCCATGTTAATAACTCTAGAAATAAATTTCTAGAAATAATTCGTTTAATTCAAACAAAAAGGGAATAATCCGTTTATAGTGTTTTTGTTTACTTGAATTAGTAGAAAAAAATGGATAAAAATGGATGTCTGTCGATCGATTGTCAAAAGAGTACGAGAATGGGATATTGGAATTCGTTAAGTTTGTTGTTGAACACGCCAAAGGCCCCAGTCGAATTAAGTGTCCTTGCTTGGGTTGTTGTTATGTGGGTCGGGTTGACGCAGATGGATTGAAATCGCATTTACTAATGCATAGAATTGATAGAAGTTATACGTGTTGGATATTTCACGGTGAAAAAAGTAACGACAACGTTGAACCGGGGGAGAAAATTAGTATGGCCTATGTGTTGTACCCCAAAATTTTCCCTCCCATTTCTCATTGATTTCTCACCATAAAGCCTTTGAAGCTCAAGATCCAGTTAGGGTTTCATCTGCTCAAGACCTCTCCTTGCACTGTTGACTCAAATTAGGGTTTGTGTTGGCACAAAGATGCTTTGACCTAAAATGCCCAAGATGACCTTCATGCTTCATTTTGGACTCCCAAGTTTATCCATATCAAGTTTCAAGTCTTGATTCCAAGTTTTGCCCAGTCAATTGGACAGTTGACCCAGAAATCAACTGTATTGGGGAAAAAGTCAACTGTGGCCAATTGACAGTCAAACCTCATGAAATTTGACCCACATCAACATTATGAACTCACATGGACCATTTGATCAAGTTTGGATCACAATTCCCCAAGAAATTTGATCAGATCACCAAAAGGGCAAAATGGTCATTTTTAGGGTTTTGATTGCACAAAGGCAATTTTTGACTGTTTGACCTAGCCAATGGCAAACCAAGCTCACACATGGACTCAAGGACCCCATAGAATTATCTTGACATGATCAACAAACTCAAAAGATCCCAAGTACACAGGATTGACAGTTGAATTTCCCAGTCAATTGATCAATTTTGACTGTATACTGAAAAGTCAAACTTTGACTTTTTGGTCAAAATCAAGAGTCAAGATTCATTTTTCATCAAAACTTGCCAAATCATGAAACTTGTTCACCAAGAAACCAAGAAATGCAAATTAGGGTTTAAAATGGAATTTTTCATAACTTAGAATTTTTCTAAGTTATGGAAAACCCTAATTTTTTCCCAACTTTTCCCCACTTTTTCACCATGATTCATTTGGATTCAAACAAAAGTCAAAACATGAAAGTTGTAGCTTGTTGCATAATCTACAACTTTGATTCACAAAGTTTTCTCATTTGAAGCTTGTATCTCAAGTTACAAATTTTTGAATAAGGGCACTAAACCATTCTTAACTTAGTGAATTTTTGACCTATTTTGACAAGTTTTTCTACCCCACTTCAAGGCCATTTTCCATACACTTCCACTTGGAATTTCAAATTTCATTTCAAAGATGGATTGTAGTACACATTCCAAGCTTTCCAAAATGTCTAAGAACTTCTCAAACAACCTCATGGTTAGGGAGAATCGAATTTCACAATATAGCAAAAACTCACTTTTGAATTGGCCATTTTTTCATGTTCATAAGTTATGCAAACTTCTCAAAACCAGCATGCCCTTGATTACAGGTCCTTAAACCAAGTTACACTCAATAATTTAATGCTTGTTCATTGTGTCAAAGTGTTATTCTATGAGTTCAAGTATTGTATACAAGTTTAATCCATTTTTAGATAAAGTAAACTATCCATTTTTGCAAAAGTCCACTTTATGTCCAATTGGTAAATCAAGCAAGTACAAACCAAATCTCTTTGGCACAAGATTATGAACAAATTACTCTGATCAAGAGAAGCTTTGCAACAGGATTAGAGGTCCCCTACTGACCTAAAACACCAACTTGCATTTTGTTGCTTAAAGGTTAAGAAACATTGCATAACTAAGACCAACATCCATCTCAGCTTACATACACAAGAACAAAGTGATCAAACACATTACACACATCATAACCAAGCTATTGCACGAGCCATTTACCTCCCAAACATCATCAAACCAAAAAACACCATCAAACTGCAAAAACAGAGTTGCCTCTGCAGTTTGAGTGCCAACTTCTATTCCTCTCAAGCATTCTTGCCAAAACCAGTTCACATACCTTCCATACCATCTATGCAAGCTAACCAAAAGCAAAGGCACGACCTGTAATCACTCTAACCACTTCCACCATTTTCACATTTCTGATTTGCAGGTGAAGTTCTCTAGCTCGATTCAGAAGCTTTCAAGACAAAGTAAACATTGGAATAGCATCCCTGGACCTCAAGGAAGCTTTTCCAATCATCACCTTGCCCTGAAAGTTCTTACATCTCCAGATAGAACTTCAACTAAACAGGTAGTTTTTTGAATTCGTATCTCTCTTATTAGGCATCATTAGTTTTAAGTTTGTGAATAAACAAGGTTCTACTCATGCCACTGAACATGTACATGTTTTTACTTTTCATTTCTTTTGCCT